ATTTCTACTAAATCAGCAGCCCAGATTTCATCAATCCCGTTTGACACCACCGATCTCTTTTGAAAGTTTCTTGTGATTGGTTTGTGAAGTTCGTCGGCTAATTGTTGAGACCAATCACTACTACTCAACGCCGACTTGCGTTTAAACCAAGTCCAAGTTTTTCTTTGTATTAATCAAGAATCTCGCAGTTGAGCCCATTTTGGCATTTCACCGTATCGAATGGCGTCCAATGACTGTACCATTTCTTTGTCGCAATCGTTTTTGTTTCTACCCATGTCATAACAGATATCATGATATGCTGCTATTTCATCGACTTTGTTATACGGCCTAACTCGCCACTCTGTTATTTCTCCAGTGTTTGGATCATAACTTAATTGTTTGTCTAGAGGATTGTATGGTCCCATATATTTGTATTTTCCTGGAGTCCATCCTGCTTTTGGTTTTGGGAGTTTTCCAATCCATTTGTGAATATCGAAGGCTCCGCCAGTTAATGAAGTTTCAGAAACAACTTCAGTTAATGGGTTGTTTTCCCAAAAGTGTTCATCAATGATAATTCCATATTTATTTCTTATGACTTCTGGCCATGTGTCTGGACTACCTGAAATAATGTTGTGCATATCTACCAATTCTTCTGGGTTTTTTTCAAAGAATTTTGTTTTATATTGTCTGAATTTTTTACCATCCCTATTAAATGCAAAGAATAACTCAGGACTCCCCCCTTTGCGTATTATTCCTTTTGCTTTCTCTTCCGCTGTTGTTGGCCGTCTCCAAAACTTACTAGACATAACCCCATGTTCACTTCCAAAAGTGGACTTCAGGACGTCCCCAGATTTATATCTATCGTAAACTGGTTTCAAAGATGGAATAAGTTCTTGTGTTGTTTTCATTGCAATATCTGGCGCTTTTTTTACAACAGTCATCGGATCAATACCCTTACCACTTCTTCCGTCTAAATCTTTTCTATCAGTTTTATACTTTTTCTTTGGCCTAACTTTGGTTGACAGTTGATCCATTGCCTTACCGGCGGTGTCTTCAATAAATGGAGTTAGTTTAGATAAACCATAATTAACAGCTTTCTTTAGTAGTTTTTTTATTTCTCAATGCTTCACTTGCTCCATACCGACCCATTTCAACTGCTTTGCGTCCCATCCAAGGCAAAGCATGTTCAACAAATGCATCTGCGGCTGTTCCGACGACAGTGTCAAAGACATCACCTCCGGTTTGTTTGCCCGCCTTCTCAGACGGGCTTATTAGTTTTTTGACTTCTTTTTTGTTTTTCTTTTATTTCCACTTCCACTTTGCAGAGAAGGCGAGCCCGTCGAGCCGGGAACTCCCCCCATTTTTACATATCTAACTTTTTTATTTCAACAAACTGCGCATCTACAAAAGAATTGTGTTCTTCCTCTTTTATCTTTCTGGTAACCACTTGGTTCTGTGCAAGGAGTTACTCTTTTATCTACAATGCAATATGATTCTTTCATTTAGTATAATGATTAGATAAAACAGCGTTAGCTAAAATGAAGCAACGAGCAAAGTTTGTAAAAGGCGAACTTGAAAAGATTTATAATCTGTTAAATGCGAGTTTTGAATACATAGATTATTCTCAAGTGGAAAATGACAAACGATTTATAAAAATATTTGAGTTGCTTATGGAAATAAGTGAGAAATCAAATACGCTTCGACAAGTTGTGAAGGGGAGTTATTTTGTGTAAATCAGTTTAAAGCTTATATATATTATAATAAAATGGAAGCTAAGTTTTTTTCTGAGACAGAAAAAAAGATGGACATTAAAACACTGAAAGATTTTGAGAAAGAAGTTAGAACTAAAATAAATGATGAGTTTGAATCTCTTAGAAAGAAGAACGATGATCTTTCTAAAGTATTAATGTTTGGTGAATGTGAGTTGTGGAATAGTATTAAAAATGGTAATTATTCTTGGTTGAAAATAAAGAGTGATAAAAAGAGGAAACTCTTTAGACTTATTGAAATTTACTCACAAGTAAGTAATTTAGTTGAGAATGTTGGAGATATAAATAAGAAAGTTGATGATCTTAAAAAGTTAAAAGATGCTCCAATAGATGAGGAGTAAAATGATTTAAACAATAAATAGTAAAGTATAAAGAATGGAAGATAAGTTTATTAAAGAGTTTGAAAACTTTTGTGATATCCAGTTACTAAAAGATTACGGGAATAAAATTCGAACTGAAATTATTAATGGGTTAGAAAATCTTCAAAAAAGAAATGATGATTTTTCTCTAAAAGTAATTCATGAAGAAAGCGAATTATTGTTTAGTGTTATCAGAGTTTTTAAATCTTTTAATAAACATAATTCTGACGAAAAAGTAGAGAGGTTAACTAAGCTTATTGAAACTTATAACTGTTTAGCAACATATGTCACCATATTTATTTCATCAGAGATGACTTTAAGCGTTTTAAATCTTTAATAAATAGAGAGTAAAAGGTTACTACAAAAAATAATATTTATTGAATATTATTTTTACTAGTACTACGTAAGTAATAACCTTTATCCTCCAAAGTACTCTCGTATGAAATCACTATTGTCGCTGTCAAAATGAGGATTATGTAATACATCTAAGATACTATTACCACGTTGTCGTTCTAACAGATAATACAAACACCAGTAACCACAGAGAACGGTACTGCGATTTTGTATTTCATCTATCGAGTAAACTATTTGCTTTCCAGAAGGGCTTGCCGTGTTAAAATACTTAAAAGCTTCATTTGGCATTATCAAACCAAATGGATCAAAATACTCAACCACTGAATCCAGATTTCTATAACAAACCCAGTGTGTGCCGGTACCTTGAATATCATCAAGACTGATTATTTCACATTCTTTTCTAATCTTTTTTGGTAGTCCATCACGACTGTAAATTCCTCTGAGACTCCTGATACCAAGTTTCTTTACCCAATCCATTAGGTCAAAGTTGGATAGCGCCTTAATTACAAAATGGTTCCTAGTATGGGGATTGACTTGAATGGGCTGTTTTTTCCCAACAGCAGTCCCTTGCCTTTGGGCTTTTTTTTTTTTTTACTCTTTACTCCCATACCTAATGGTCCTCTATTTTCCATGTCTTTCCAAGTACCAATAAGTGGTGGCGAACGATATGGATAACCCTCGCCATGTGTGGATGGAGGAGGTGGGACATAAACATTTCTCGTGTTACTAGACGATCCCCTATCAACTTGAAGTCCCGCCCCTGCGGGCAGACCAGAGCCAAACATTTTTGAAACTAAACTAATCGCCATTGGAATTCCGATTGAAGCAAGTGTACCTAGAAATCCTCCTTCTATTTGCCTACGAGTTGGTTTAATAACCAGTCGTCCTCCTGTTTTATAAGCTTTGTTGATTTGGTTTATTTGTGCTTTGGTGAACTCTCTAGCAAAAGGAGGTAACATTGGAAAAATATTTTTGGAATTGTAACCGAAGGAACACCTTTTCCAAATAGTTTTTTTATTCCTATATCTCCTAGTGCAGATGCGGCTCCAGTAGCAGGTGCAGGGGCAACTTTAGAAATTCCTTTTATCGCGTAAGGAAGAAATCGAGCTCCAAGAGATGCTAAACTAGTGAATAGATTTCCACCATGCTTTACAGAACGTCTAATCTGTGTTTTACTTATTTTTATATCTGATCCTATTCCATTTGCCAATGATTTTTTTATTTTAGTTATCTGTCTGCGGGTCAGCATCATTTCATCTGATCCTCGAAGATGAGAATGTTTTAATCGAAGGGTTAGTGGTGATTTATTTTTGATTGCACTCATCAATTTTGACTTTTGACCATCTGTAAGCGTTACACCATATTCAAGATAAGTTGTCATTTATTTTAAGAGTGTGTCCATGAGAAGACCAGGCAGAACCAGGCAGGGGTTGATAATGGTCAAATCACCGATTTCGCTCAAACTCGGCACAAATGTTAGGTATCAGGAGTTAACTTATGTGACAGAATGTCAGGTTCAAATATTAAGAGTGGCTGTCTGTAAGGATCGAGAATCGGCGGTCAGCGACCCATTTGGCGAATCCCTGATATTTTGCCCAAAGTTAGCCTTGGGTAGACTGTTTTCAAAAAACATATTCAAAAGT